GAGGGAGTGGTGGGCAGGAGTGAGGGGCCGGACAGAGAGACGGTGCGGGGACAGGAGTGAGTGGGGGACAGGAGTGAGGGGCCAGACAGAGACATGGTGCAGGGGACAGCAGTGAGTGGGGGACAGGAGGGGCCGGACAGAGACATGGTGCAGGGACAGGAGTGAGTGGGGGACAGGAGTGAGGGGACGGACAGAGACACGGTACGGGGACAGGAGTGAGTGGGGGACAGGAGTGAGGGGACGGACAGAGGGTACGGTGTGGGGACATGAGTGAGAGGCTAGGCAGAGACATGGTGTGGCCACAGGAGTGAGGGGCCGGACAGAGACACGATGCTGGGCTCCGTGCACACCAGACTTCAAGAGCAGGGCCCTCTCCTGTGACTCTCATGCGTCTGCATGTGGCTCCTTCGACGGTACTGAGGTGACCAGGACAGCCGAGCCCTCCGGGTTGTGTGGAGGAGGTTCATGAGAGGGTGCACTGTCATGATAACGGCCCGAATGAACCCATCCCTCCGGGCACACAGGGGAGGCAGGCCGGGCAGGGTGGGCCGTGGGTGTCTAGGGCCTAGGACTGTCCTTGCACCGCTGTGCAGACATGGGCCTGTCCCGCCCCGGGGAGCCTCTGTCCTGGGGTGGGCGGTGGGCCGAGAGGAGGCAGACACCATGCCTGTCAGGAAGTGCCGCTTGGAGGCCTTAGGCAAAGCCCGGTCTGCCGTGGATGTGCCCTGCTGTGGGGTTTGTCGCCAAGCACTCAGAGGCCTGCGAGCCCTAGTGGCAGGGACAGCGGGGCCGCTGAGGACACAGCCGCTCAGGAAGGCCTGTGGTGCGCCTGGGGCCAACCGCACCACACCAGGTGTGCCTGCAGTGTCCGTGACCCTGTGGCCTGCAAGCTGTGGAGGGCCACTGTCACACCGCTGAGTGTCCGGGCTGCCAGTCAGACTCCCAGGCAAGGCAGAAACAAACCTGCAACATCTCAAAGCTCTCGTTCCAGAGAGTAATGTGTGGGGCCAACAGAAGGACTGGAGGTTAAGGTGCTGACAGTCCACAGGGCCAACTGCAGGTTTGAGTCCTGGACCTGGCGGCTGGAACGTCATGCCGAGAGCATGTACTCATGCCCCAGATCCCCAGAGGAGAATGGGGGAGAAGGGACCACAGCATGGCCGCCGCAGGGGGGCGATTTTTCTCTGCCCTCACCCTGCGAGAGCACAGGCCCTACAGTAGAGACAGGAACAAAGCCCAATGCCGAGCTAGTGCAGAGCGGCCTAGCCCGACGATGCATTTCCAGTCAGCAGCTGTTACTCCTCCAGAATGCCACGTAAAGCGTTCTGACGGGCCAGTCTCATGGGCAGCCATGGTTCGTCTACACCCCTCACACAGGGTCCCGGACATGGCTTTGAGGCTCCTCAGCCTCTAGTCCCTGTCAACGCCCTCTTGGGTCTCAGACACAGCAACTGGCGCCCCATCGCAGTGGGTACGAGGCCGGGCGCCCTGCCGCCTCCACCCACCCCGGACAGTTCGCTCCACGTCCGCCCACATGTGGCTTTCTCACTTCTCTAGTTTTCAGAACTCGGCCCTCTGGGTTATAAGATCAGTGAGCAGTGACTGTCACGGGGCTACGAAGGAAGCTGTCCTGTGAAGGGCAGTCTGACACTCTCTGCCGCGCGGCATTGCTAATTCGAGCTCACAAAGGCAGATTCACTAACCAGTGTTTTATAGTTACCTGAGTGCCATTATGAGCAACAGTAATTTCTATGGCGTCTACTAGGTCTTCGAGGGGTTCAATTACCCATGTCCCCGATGAACACAAAGTGCTCCCGAGGGCAGACTCACACCGCCATGCCGGCATGCACAGGCGCTGTGGCTGCAGCTCTGACGGCCACCCAGTGCCAAGGGCAGGCCTAGGGACGCCAGAGGCCAGCGGAGATGCCAGCGCACGGCAGCGGGCCGCGTGGGCAGTGACGGTGGCTTCAGTACCCCTGCCGGCTGCATACTGACTGACAGACCAGGAGTAGATGGAACCTCAGAGTTAACTGCAGGTGACACGTGTTCAGCAGCAGCTAACGAGAGCAGGGCCACTTGTAGTGTGCCTTATTTCCTATTTGTTAACAGCAAGTCCTATATACAAGTTAGCATTAGATTAAGATTCTAATAAAAATCTCCCTGCAAATAGTTAGGTTATAAAATAAATATCGCATTAAAATTTCACAATAAAACATGCAAAGTTGTTTCAGAGTTCTTTAGTGAGTAACAATGCCATTTTTCACATTATAAATATGATATTCTCCTTAAGGGCCTATGTGTATCTACATGTATTCGCATGCAAAATCGTTACATGTATAGAAACTGCACTTTTGGAAAATAGGGCTCTCCTTCCCTCTCCGCTTTCTGAAAATGAGACCTGTGAGCATTTAGAACAACTCAGTGAACAGACAAGACCCTATGGCCGCCCCTTGGCCTAGCGTGCACGTTTGACTGCACGATGTGGTCTAGTAACCGAGCTGTCTGCGAGCTGGAGAAGCTGGCACGGTGTCGTCTGTCCCCCAAACTCTGTAAGGGCAGTGTGTGCATGTTACAGACTCACTCACCTCCTCTTCCAGCCAGTCATTGTACTGGACGATGCTGGACATGGCGACATCGGCACCTTTCATGTAAAATGTGATCTCTGCCGTGGACTCCTCCTGCAGCGACAAGGGCAGAGACAAAGGTGAGGGCCCACGTGCACGGGCCGGCACTCCTGTCGAGCTGCCCTCCTCGCAGAGGCGCTGGGACAGCTCTGCCAGGGCTCTCTGTGGCAGCTGTCCCGTGCTGCCCACCCACAGACGCTGTGCCCTCCGTGCCAGAGTGCCGAAGCCCACACCCATCCTGCACGTCCCTGGACACCATGCTGGGACCTGCGGGCAAATCTGCTAACAGGGCTCCAACAGGGTTGCCATGTGCGCCGACGCCCACGGATGCTCAGTGAGCGCAATGCTGCGCCGCGGCCAGCTCCTCGGAGGTGCGCGTGGGCATCTGCGCTCACAGGATGGGAGGTATACCTCAGCAACGTCACGGTCATAAACCATTACTCACTTCACTTCTGTGGCATGCTACCTCTTGAAAACTAAATAAAACAGCTTGACTTGATCCAATAGTTACGGCAGCTCTGGCTTTTCCTCCTAGTAGTTTCAGGGTAGTTACCTTACATCATTGGATGGTTATCACGGAGCCACACTAGCTTCTCGGTTGTAAATTACTAGTTTAAATTTATGCACAAAACAACACCGCAAACACGGCACAAGCACAGAATGCTGGAGGAGACCCTAACTTCTCCTCTGGGGCACTCTGTATCCACCTCACCACACTGGCGAACCGCTCAGGCAGCCGCAGTACCCCGAGGGCCCAGCCATGGGGAGGGCGGCGGAGCACGCACCCTGACCACGATGCCCATCCGCTTGCTCTCGGAGGTGAAGGGGAACATCTGCAAGATGTGGTAGGTGAGGACCTGGCCTCCAGGTGTCTTCAGCTGCATGGAGTTGAGGTCCCTGCTGACCAGTGTCAGGCCCACGCTTTCTGTCCACTGCACCAGAGCGACCTAAGGGAGACCAAAGACACGTGAGGGCCAAGGAGTGGCACAGGAGCCAGATGACACGTGGCCCCCAGGAAACCTGCCAGCACACTGCCTCCGGAGTGTGCTCGTGCTCGGCTGAGAGCCAGCTGCTTGTCTCGGTGGCCCGCGAGGCAGACCCTCTGGAATAATTCTGACAGGTGAACACGCCCATCAAAGGC